CTAGCTGGCAGGCCCATGACAGCAAGCTGGCCACCTGTCGATTCCATGAGGAATGGGGCTCCCTTGTCCCTCCTGTCAGGGTCCGGGGTGCAGGTGAATGGGGTTCCTGGCTGGCAGGCCACTGACATCCAGCTATCCAACAGCAGATTCTGTGAGGAATGGGGCTGCCTCCTCCCTACTGTCAGGGCCTGGTTTGAAGGCCAGACTCAGTACTTCCACGCTCTGCTCCCACGGCGGGTTCCTGCCTGAAACCTCGCCCTCCGGGAAACAGCTGGGGGAGGGCACAGCCGTTTCCAAGATGACCCCTGCAGGACTGACTTCCTTCCAGTTGATTGAGCTTCTGGACGTGATGTTACACCAAGAGTTTTTATATAAGCAGACTAGAGGTGCAGTGCATGAAATCTGTGCACTTAGGGGAGGGGGGGTCCCTCAGCCTGGCCTGTGCCCTCTCACAGTCCAGGAGCCCTCAGGGGATGTCCAACTGCTGCGGAGGCAGGAGAGGCTCCCGCCACCTCCACTGTGCTCACCAGCTGTGAGCCCAGCTTCTGGCTGAGCGGCGCTCCCCCTGTGGGAGTGCATTGACCACCAGGAGGCAGCTCCTGCATTGAATGTCTGCCCCCTGGTGGTCAGTGCATGTCATAGCAACTGGTCATTCCACCATTTGGTCAATTTGCACATTAGCCTTTTATTATATAGGATAGATTATCAACTTAATAAAAAGTGAAAGAAAGGGGTGGAAATGACCAGCATGCTCTATAGCAGTGGTTCTCAACCTTCGGGCCATTTAAATACAGTTCCTCATGTTGTGACCCAACCATAAAATTATTTTCATTGCCACTTCATAACTGTAATGTTGCTACTGTTATGAATCGTAATGTAAATATCTGATATGCAGGATGGTCTTAGGCGACCCCTGTGAAAGGGTCGTTCGACCGCCAAAGGGGTTGCGACCCACAGGTTGAGATCCGCTGCTCTATAGAGAACTAGGTATTATTTTGTGAGATGCACTTTTATATTATATTCATATGTCAGTGTGGCTGGGTCACAATGTAAAAGGTTTGCAATCAAAAGTTGCAAAGTTACTGTGCAGACAGAACTACAAGACCAGGCGCAGGCGGCGTGGAGCACTCAAGGGCAGGGCAGTTTCCAGTTCTGAAATCAACACAGGATCTGAAGTCCCTTTCCACTACTTCTAGCTGTGTGACACTTCTCGAGTCTCCAGCTGTCTCTTCACCTGTAGGTGGACGTTGCTCACCTGCCCCATAGAGCACTAAGGTGACATGGAGAGTGTCCACATGACATTGGCCATGCAACAAATCTTCCACCCACCATTTAAAAAAGCTCCTTCGAGTGCACAGAACTCCATCGTAACAGCCACATGTGCGTTTGTTGAATGTGTACCGAGTGCCTAATAATTAGAATGACAGAAATCACAAAATAAAGCTATCTTCGTGTGAGCACTTATACGTGACTGAGCTAAGTGCTCTGTATGTTTGGTCTCACTTATCTTTCTAAACAACTGAACATGACCAGTATTACTGTTTTCCCACTCCCCCACCCCCTTTTTGTAATCCTCATCCAAGAATATATTTTTTTATTGATTTTAGAGAGAAAAGAAGGGAGAGAGAGAGAAACATTGATGTGAAAGAGAAACATCGATCGATTGCCTCCTGTACGTGCCTCAGCTGGGGATTGAACCCACAACCTAGGTATGTGCCCTGACCAGGAATCAAACCCACAACTTTCGGGTGTACAGGACCAC